GTTTTGTTTGTTGTGTGTGTGTGTGGGGTAACTTAGCGTTATCCACGTATTTTTATTAGGGCAAGTTATTTACTATTGTTATATACATAAAACAAAACAACAACATTAGTTTGCAATAAAATGAAAACTTCATCCAATACAGAAGGTGGCTTTTACGGAAAGTTTAACCAACGGTGCAGTTATTAAAAAAGTTGAGAATGTAGCTTTTAAATGTGAAAGACGAGTTTTCATTTTAAGTTATTCGTATCTAGAGTTAGAACATTAAGAATGTTTTTCCTTAGAGTTTAGACAAAGAACCACTTACTTCTATTAATTAATTTAGATGTGAATAGTTGAGCATTAAACTCACGGAGAAATTATTTTTACCATGAAAGTTGTTTTGACCTTTTATATATATAAACAAACAAAACTCGGATTGTAGCGAAAGCGCATTAATATAGTAAGTTATTCTTTCAACCAAGTTACTGAAAACTTAAGTTACTGCTTTACTGAGTGCACTTAACATAGGTTAGAGTGGCTAGTGTACTGTATTGTGGATCCGTGGTTCGCGCCCAGTTATTGAAGAAAAAGGCGTGCGCCACCACTTGGGGCCGTGGATGCGTTATAAGACTGACAGTCAAATCCCTCTAGAGAAACTTAAAAGGGTCAGCAATGAAGCATCTTGGAGCGAACCTTGCAGAAGACGTAATGTCAGTAGAGGATTAACCCTAATCACACGACAACTCTCCGAACAAGTAAATCTGGACAAGTGAAGATATTACAGTAAAAACATTTAGAGGAAGTAACCAGATTAACCCTAATCACACGACAACTCTCCGAACAAGTAAACCTGGACAAGTGAAGATATTACAGTAAAAACATTTAGAGGAAGTAACCAGATTAACCCTAATCACACGACAACTCTCCGAACAAGTAAACCTGGACAGGTAAAGATATTACAGTAAAAACATCTTCTCTGGTCTGTGTGGATGTGGGGCACGAACCTTATAAAGTAGATTGGAAAAAGAGTAGAAGCCTTCGAAATGAAATGTTTCTGAAGATCTGCGCATTCCCTTGAACATACACAGAACAAACAAATCAATTAGAGGAAGTTTTACAGAAAATCAGCTTCTATGAACCGTTAATAGAGGGAGTAACTACAGTGGTTTGGTCATGCGACGAGAAAATTAGATACTCTAGCGAAATACTATCGAACGAGTCTCGGAAGGGAAGCACGAGTGGACTAAGACTGCTCGAGACTGGCGGATAACTGGAGAACTAGAGTCATAACGGCCAAGTTAAAGGTGCTCCAACGATCAGGGGTGAGATTTAACTTTGTTATTGGATTACAGTAGTCGAAGAGTTGGTGGTGTTGACTAGCTGCCTTCTCTATATTCACTTCAAAGTTAAGTAGGGCTAGTGCAGATAACTTTCTAGTAGCTTTGCGCTTAAATTCGTTATCTCTCAAGACCAAACTCCCGATAACGAAACTGGACAAATCTAGGATGAATTTCAACCAATGTCCCTAAACTTCGCCAATCACATAGAAAGATAAGTACGTGGTATACACTTTAAAGGAATTAGAATAACTACGTTGTGTTTCATAAAACTCGCAGTTCAAACTCGACATATCCATTTGGAATACTTCGTGCCACAAACTGCGTGTTAAATAAGCAATATGGCAGCTCATTTAACACGGCCAATTTCAAGTTTGCCAGCATTGCGTTTATTATTATTATTTGAAAAACAGTTACTTAGTTTCTGTATCGTATGCTTACAGAAAGATAAGAACCGATTTTTCTGGCTAATGACATTTACGATTGAGGACAATACAGAAAATGTACCAGATGTTAATTTAATGTACGAGCTCATTAAAGTTACGAAAAAAAAAAGTTTTGATCGAAACCTTAATTCGGATACAAGGGCAACAATACCGAAGCGATTTATCAACAACATTATCCCCCCCTTCTCCCACATGTTCTTTATTCAAAGTGATTACACTATACGAGAACACTACCGTTGTTAGTCGCATTATTTTAAAGTAAATTTGAAACAACACTGATGCCAACATTTTATTTTTACTTTTAGTGTATTGAGGGGTTTGGTTTTTCATAGTTTAATATTTCGTGCATTTGGAATAGTTTGCAATTTCTTACTCATTTTAGTTATACGCATTGTACATTCCACGAATTATCACGTGCACATAGGCGCGTGACCAAAGTTCCCGTTCGAATTATACATTTAAAACATTTGTATTTTCTGGCGTGATTAAAGCGACGAGTACAAAAGTAACCAGAACGTGATCATAACCGGAAAGTCAAGGTTAAAGCACCAGCTTTGCCCGATAGTACTCAAGGAAGTGAAGTCTAGGTAGTTTTTTTTCGGGGGGGGGGTAAGAGAGAAAAAGGAAACTTTTTAGTTGATGTCGAAGTTTTAGTCTTTGCAATACGAGGAGTGATTCCACCGTCTCATACATATTTGTTTGCGATAATACTTAAGTTTTTATACTAAATTGTATTATAAATTTAATAGAAGTTTCATTAAACCTTCAAACCCAAAGGAAAAAAAAAAGTGTGAACTTTGACAACGACCTTATTCTTAGTTTTGTAGCAGACGATTTAGGACAAATCGTTACTATCATGTTTGGTTGAGTTTGAAAATAAATCTTAAACTACACAATGTCTCCTGTATAAGGAAAGACTAAAGCAGAACGTCTGTATGACTCCATTTTAGGTTCAACTACAAATTTGATTAAAATATCTAACACGTCACGTGCTGTAGCTTTTCGGTAGAGCCATATTTTGTTCTTTCATAAATAGGGTGACTCTCTGGAGTCGGGGGGGTATGAAAAGACGAGGAAGGTTTCTAAGTTACACTTTCGTCACCTAAGAATTTACACACACACCCTTTTAACGATTTTTTGGGGGGAGGGAGAAGGTTCGTTTCTATAATTAAGAGTTTAAAATACCATAGTTGGTCTTATATTATATAATGCAAAAATAACTGGTGGACCAGGCTCGTAAGAAGGCACTATCTATATTACTGTTACGCCTCCAGTCGTTAATTGATTTTCCGTAACTTCGTTCCGACGAAACTTTAGCGACACAAGTCCTTACTTAATAAAACTGGTTTATTCTTTCTGAATATAACTTTACCGATACACTTATTTTCAACAGTCGCTCTATAACAAACGTTTTAACAACGAACGTTAACTTCAACAATACTTTCTGACTGCAGTTCAATTACTCACTACCTACACACATCCCGTCACGTTGTGAGCGTCTTATATATATATACCAGACAAACATATATCTAGTAAATGCTAGGGCATTCACGAAGGAACAGGATATTTCTAGAAAATAGGTGGCGTGCCACTAGTCACGTGACCTCGCTGACGCAACAATATATTTATAATAGTCGAACAGCTATCTCCCAAAATCATAAATTTATTTTACCATAAAAAGTGCTAAATAGCTCAAAAGTAAGAAATGTCCTTTTCTTTGAATTATTGATCTTACGATCAAGTAATGATCTCATTTACTGGTCTGGCAGTTAACCTCAGCAATATTGATCTGGAAGTTTCCTTTGGCATCCCAGCTAACATTAAAGTTACCACACAACTGATCTACTGATACTTCCTAATCTCAGATTGTTAGATAAGTACTTCCAGTATCTTTCTTATCATCAGCTAAGTTGAAATGATATAAAACAGTGCTCTCACTATCATCAGTATTCAGCAAGAATGGATAGCCATCGGTTATGCATTCAGAGGTACTGTGACTATTTTCTCAACCTGTATTAAAATAGTCCACTATTCCTGGACCTGATCTGGCTAGCATTGGATGGGTTCGCATGGTAACATAACTCACCTGTTAAACAGGCTAAACTGACAGCATCCAAAGTAGGTCCATTCCCAAGATCCAAATACTCTCTTCTCAAAAAATCGTGTCCCCTGAAGGGTCAGCAATAAGTTTGCGAATTTACAACTCTAAAATCCAGGGTTTGATTCTCCACAATAGACAGAGCACAATTAGCCCATTGAGTAGCCATGTGCTGAAAAACAAAATAACATTAAATTGTTTTAATACTCATTACTTCTTACTTTGCGATTACTTTATTGTCATCTCTTTGTTTTTATCTGTTTTATTGATACACAAGCTCTGAGAAAATGTTCTTTTATCTTTT